TGTTTAAAATTCTCTAATATTGTCAGAAAAATTCTAGGGTTGTTTTAAGTACAAAAGAACGTTATGGGCCCACTCCCAGACTCATTCAAACCCCCCCAAGCGTGCGCGTTCTTAGACATCCATCTGCAAAAGCCCTTTCGGCGTCAAAAATTAATGCTATTTCTCCATCTTCGACCAAGCGCAGGTCTCATTCCCTCCATCTGTCGACAATTGAAAGGACGCCTTCGCCTTTGGCGGCTACTGGCCTAATAAAAACGTCTACACTCTCCTCTAAGCGTGTTCCTGATCGTGTAGAAGAACTGGCTTCCGCCAAAAGAGCAAAAGGAGTCTCATTTGGACCCAGTCTTAGTCCTGAGCGCTTTGACGAGTCCTTGCCACCCTCTACTCCTGTGAAGCGAGGAGCCCTTCCATTGCATTCACTTGCTAAACCTAAAGAATTGCTTTCTTCTCTCAGGGGCCTCCATTCTCCTAATACGCCGGTTCAGGGTCGCCCATCAACTGTCGTTTCTCAGCCTCCCACGCCCGATGAAAATCTACTTGATTCTAGAACACGCCATGATGAAACTCCCAATTCGTATATGAGTGAGTATAATAGTCTCACCCATTCCTCTACTTATACAAGGAGTGGCGTGTTGATTCCGTCTCCTATTCGTAAAGATTCCTTAGCGGATAGTCATTCGGTATCTAGAGACTCTTTTTCGGATGCCAGTTCTCGAGTTCCGGTAGTAGGGAAAAGACGAGCCAATTCTCTCGTCATGCCGCCCGCGCGTCAAGCTAAACGCAGATATCATTCCGTAAGATCCTTTGCATCGTCAAGCCGCTCTCATCGAGAAACTGACGCTCCTCCTTCAACTCCTGTGGCCTCCCACCTCAACAACTCCGGAATTTTTGGTTATTTTGATGATGAATTGAGCTTTTCTCCAGTCTGCAGTGATAATGGTAGATACCGGCGTTCTCATTCTCAACCCTCTGTTCACCATACCACTGGGGACGTTCATGTTCTCATCCCATCAACTGACAAACCGGCTGTTCGTAGTCGGGGCTCCCATAATCCTATTTTGGAAAATGAAGCCCTCATTGGTTGTACGTTTCTATTTAATTTTGCTTGTGCTTTCTACCATTACTCATCCTATATGTCTTGTAGCAACGCGATTATCTCAAAGGCTAATTCAATCATCTGGCCTCGGGACGAGCCAACTTTTTAAGACCCCTTTGAGTTCACCAAAGCCCAATTCACCATTTACTTCGCCATTGCCTAATTCATCAGTTGTCAACAACCGGCATTCCCTTGAAGTTCCTCCCCTAAAATCAACACCTGTCTCGAAAAGGAGCCAAAAATTGTCTAAGGTAAGTGGGCATTAATTTTATTTCCGCTAATCTGCATCCTTAGTCTCTACATGAAGTTGAGAGTCCGAGTTCCGGCCTATTGACGAGAAGTCGTCTGTCATCTATTGATTCGACCCCTTCTTCTGTTATTGACGATTCCATTAATTTGACAAGCAACAAGACTGAGGTCTTGCAAAATGTTGATCAGTTTGGTTCTTCGACTGGAGGTGTTTTGAAAGCTACAGTTCCGCCTTCACTACCTATCACTGACCATCTTGTATCT